TTCCCTTTTTCCCCTCCCCTCCTTTTTTTAATTTTTTTTACCCCCTCCCCCCCCCCCCCCCCCCCCCCCCTTTGGGGGGCAATAAAGGGAATTATGAATATGAAAATTGTAGGGAATTGGGATTTGTGTGGGTTCTTTTGGTTGAATAAATGTAATAGCATGAATAATGGTATCTAGAACTGGAGTACTTTAATTAATAATTAATTTAATAATAATAATTTAATTTATTAATTTAATTAAATTTATTTATTAATGTATGTAATTTAATAATTAATAACTTAATTTAATATCAAACCCCATGTAGGGTATTTGAAACCTCAGCTATCTTTTTATGTACCAGAGAGACAGTCCCTCAATGAACTTTTTTGCGCACTTTGCGGTTGTACGTATCCCCCCCTCGAACACAATCAGGGGCCACCCTCATTTCGACTAATTTATTTGATTTTATTTTGTTGATATGCCACGGGATAGAGAAAGGGAGATCCAGTGACGGGGGGAATTGTCTCACTGCTACTTTTGTTTAATCAAAAGCAATTGTTCATTTCAAGTTGATTGCATTTGCTGTGCCCTGGCCCCGATTATTTTGCCTCTTTTTGCGGTTTTTTTGAGGTTGCTCTGGCGATGAGGCTTGCTGTTGCCAGAGAAATGAGAAAATTGTGCCTTGGAAAGCATTTGATTAGGCTGTGGCCACTTACAGTTAATTATGCCAACATTTTCTTCCATGACTTCTGCATAAATTTTCCCATTTCTCACATCATTAATATTCTTATGGCCACGGTCTATTTATATTGAAACCATGTTGATCCCGAGCTCAAGAATTTCCCCTTCTTTTGTGAGACTTAACCCTCATGCAACTAATTCAGTTGACCATAGCACTTAATCTGACTAAAGACATGACAAAAATTGGAAACACCACAAAAAAAAGTGATTAAAAAATGAGAAGGTGATTTATGGATGTGGATTACTACGAATAGTGGATACTCTGATGAGTATAGGTTTTGACAAGAGAAAAGATTTAATCGGCCAATGACAGTCTCTTCGTAGAGAAGGAATCTATGATTAAAATAAACCATAAAATAGAATAAGAAAAAAGTAGTACCATCTTAGAAAAGAATGACATCCATTCGATTTATTCTTTACTTACTTAGGTACACTTCTTAACATGCAGATCTCTTCAGATCTCCTTTACATATTTGTACATTATTGAAACATTCAGAAATAAACTAATCCATTTATAATCCTCTTCCCTCTGAATCTCTTCCTAATCCCCACTGAATCCCCGTCTAGTCCCAGCCATGTATACCCATTCTCCACCTAGGGAATTTCTTACTTCAGCTCCAACGAATGAGAAAATACCCACCAAGCAAACCAACGAACAAAACGATGAAAAAAACGTTGTCATTAATTTACGCATAAAATTTTATAATTTATGACAATGTGAGGTGTAGCTGGAGCGCCGGCTCCAACTCCAACTCTGACTCCAACTCCTACTCCTACTCCATCTCGAACCACTGGAAGTCGAGACCAGAGAGTGGCCAACAAATGAAGCCTGAAGATCGCTGGACATGGGTTGGTTTTTGGTTCGTATTTTTCTTTAATTTTTTTTTTGGGTTTTGGTTTTGGTTTGTTGGGATCCTCGACTATAAGCGACTTTTATAATTGTGTCTACGCATAAAAATCACATAAATTTGTGCATAAATGCAACAACAATAACGAGCCCTACATAATAAATGATGGCGCTTAAAATTTTCAACATCTCCATGGAGACAAAACGATAAAAATCGCCGTTTGAAGTTGGAGTCCACCTCCCGAAAAAAAAGCGACACATACTGGAACCAAAAACTGGTCAAGTGCTTTGCTCAACTTCTCGTCTTATGAATGAATTAATGCATTTCTTTTTTCGACTTTTTTTGGTAATACATTTTTAATGCAACTCAAAAAAAAAGCTGCCTTTTTTTGTCATTAATAAAAATCAATGTTTGAGTTAGGTTTTTTTCTGGCATCGGCTGGGTGTTTTTATTATTTATGATAGTCGGCGCCACATAGCGCCGTTTGACTCCGCCAAATGAGTTATTTTCATTGGGTTAAGGGGAACAGATTTTGTTGTTTGCTAGAATCAAACATTGTTAAAAACTAAAACAAAATAGGTAAAGAAGACTATAAATGATCTCATGTAATGCCCAAAGATTGATTGTTTCAAGAGGTAGAGATGGTTTTACTCGAAGATCTGCATTAATTACTGAAATGGTTTTTGTCCGATCAACGATGAGCATGGCATCAGATTTAAATGTAAGAAATACTAACGAAGATACGACTATCTTGCAGAAATATTGCTTAGATTTATTTTTATTTCTCTTCCAAGTTATTATTTAAGTTTTTTCTACAATACTCAATACCTTTCTCCCTGTTATTTTCAACAATTTGCCAAATGAAACGCCTGATTTCTCACGCATCTCCAACCTCCCGATGATTCATTTGTAACTCGAGCTCGGAACCAGAGTGCAGCGATTGATGATATATTCCATATACACATTCATATAGTATACATCATATACATACATATGTGCACGTTCCCCTGTGTATGTGTGAGCTCGCCCTGAAATACTCCACTCAGTTTTGACATTTATATTTATTTCAACGTGCAGCGGTCTGAGCTCTGAGGTTCTCCCAATGCAGTTTGAATTATAGCCAATGGACACGCAAAGGTGGCCAAAACTTCTCCAGCTCGTCCGCCTCCTTCACATCCACATGTCGTTTCTGTTTGGTTTGGTTTGGTTTGGTATGGGATGAGCGTGACTTTGGTTCTGGTTTGCTTCTTTTTTTGCTGTTGGTCCTTCTGCTGTTCCTGGGCGCCCGCAAGGAATGCGCCACAAATAAAGTAAAATTAATAATATCGCACGTTGATTGTTGTTGGCTGCTACACTTTTTATTGTTTTTCTTCGCATTTTTCTCTTCTCTCTTTCTACTCGCTCCCCTCTCTTTGCTTCGCTTTGTGTGAGAGAAATAAATGTCAAGAAGCAAAGCAAAATATTTCGTTTGCCCCAGAGCAGATGGGTCGTCTGCAAGCCTCCTCCTTGGCACTCGTACGAAGGTGCGTGTGGTACTGAAAGTTTGCCGAATGAAAAATTACACAGTCGAATGATAAATAACATAACGCAAAAGGAACGAATGGGCATAAAAAACGAGGGATATATATGGCCAAAGGCCAGCCAAAGTGTTTCTCATCTCAAGGAGTTGTGGGAGCCATAGCTGCTGTGGTTCCAGCCACAGAGCAGGCCATGCATCAGGAGGCAGAACAATAGAACAATATCTGGTTGGGATAGGTCTGGAGATTTTCCCTTAGTTTAGTTGCTTAATGTTTTCAAATGAATTAGATTATGAATAAAAAACTATCATTGAAAGTTGAGCTGTAGGCCAATTTACAAATTCAACAAATAGAAATCCATTACAACTTTATGTATCTATAAATCTGCGTTTCCAACCCTACTTCTTATCAAAGGACACCACAAACGAACACTCCCACATTTTCTTTTGTGAATTTACCGGAAACCCAAGAACCGAAAATATTTTCTAGTTTCCATAGGCCAGAAAAGGAATCACATGTGAAAAAGAAAAGATCACGAACCAATAAAATAACCCAAATACCTTTGTTACCAAGGAAACTCCTTTCGAGCACCCCTGAAAATATGCAACCAAAATTTGTCATCGAAGACAGCTGCTCATCCATCAACCAACATAAACCAAATTAAATAACATTGTGTTTAAAATTTAATGAAAAACACTTTCCCCTTGTCCCAGTCCCCCTTGACCCTTTACCCCTGCCCCACCCACAAAGCGACAGGGGGCCTCGCACGAAACGGAAATGCTGAAACAGGCCAAAAAAAAAAAATTTCACGCCTTCTTTAACAGAATTTATTAAAAAACAGTATTATAAAAGTAGTAGCCGAACAGCGTAGATGGGAACATGGTAACCAAAGCACACCCAAAAGCGAAAAGCGAAAAGCGAATGTTGCTCGCATGTATGAAGAGTCAAATCAAATAGCGAAGGGTACCCATGGGGGGTCGGAGCGGGGTTCACACATCTGTGATACTTTTTTTGTGTGTGGACAAAAACCAACGGCAACAACAGCAACAACAGCAAATGCCGTAATAATAGTTGCGAAAAGCAATTAGACAAACTAATAAAGGCGAAAATCCCTCCATACAAAAGGTCAGTAGAGTGCGTGCCACCGAAAGTGAGTGAGTGCGATGGCTATATGTGCATAGGCTCAATGCCAAACCCCCAATGGCGTTGACCAAGCGAGACGGCAATAGTGTGTGGTGAGGATGATGATGCATTCTCTGGCTCGGTTCTTGCTGCGCTACGCATGCGTATTTTTCACCTGGGACGACGTGCTGAAATGTTGCACACAGAGAGAAAGAGAGGAGTAGGGAGAGGATGAATAAGTCTGAGCATGAGAAGGGGTAAAGTCAAGAGAGCACAAAATCTGTTTCAAGTTTCGCCCGTTGGCGATAGAGATTGTTGTTGCTTCCGTAAGATCGAGTATGGGTGAGTATACATACAGTTATCCATGCACATATAATTGTGCCTGCGTGTATGTGCCTGCTCCTCCCCAGCCCCTTGGCAAAAGCTAAACGTAATTGCGTTTAGAAGTGCGTGTACTTGAGCATTTCTGCCATCTTTTGGTCTTGTGCTTTGTTGTGTCGGCTTTTCGCCGTTACAAATATGTTTTGAAAGCAAAGTCATGCCGGATCACAATAGGTCTGGGGCAGGGGGTACACATAGGGCCGTCGCAGCCCTTTCTAATGCTCAAAAATTAGTTTTCTGAAGTGGTTTTTATTGTAGACCCAACTGAGGGGGATATGCCTCAGTTGGCAATGAAGTGAGTGGAAAGTTATTTCGAAAGAGTTTACTTTGTGGGGGGCCTATCACATAGGAACTGGTAGGGGAATCCGATACACGAAAATGGAAAGTGCGGGAAGAATAATTAATAATAAACACTAAAAAGGGAAACTCCAGCAATGAATATAAATTTATTTAGAATCAAGAAATGAACACGAATCAATTAGGTAACTAAATAATAATAGCTAAATGGCTTTGATTGTACAATTCCTTTTTTCTCTTTGCATTATGGTTATCCCCATCTGGGCTTGGTTTTAGTTTCTAAATTATTGGCACGACGCGTGTTGAGGGTCATGCGCTTCAGCACCCAGCCCTTGATGTCGGGCTTTATAAAAGAACGCTCCTTGACCGCTATCTTCTCATGAAACTGCTTGGACTCCTCCAGCCATTGGCGACCGTAGTGCCAGGACAACAGGAGACGCATTGATGTTTCGTCCTTCTCGTAGGAGGGCGTGAAGGATTTATGCCCGGGAAGGTTTTTGTTCGAGTCTATCGGCCGGTAGAGCTTCGGGCGACCAAATATTGGGTAGACTGGCATGGTAACAAAATAAATGTATCTTTTTCCATCTACCTTTTCTTCGGAATAGAGATTTCGATCTGGAATGGAATCAAAACGTCACACTTGATTGGAAAATTAAGGCTGGAGTGATGATTATTCTCGACTGTAATTCCCAACTGCTAATTGAGTTAGCAGCCATAAAACCAAAACCAAACCAAACCAAACTATGGCGTGGAAAATGCCAAACTGTAAACCCTAAAACATTTTGCTAATAGCTCTCTGAGAGCCCGAAATGGGATAGAAAACAAATCGCCCATTTGTTCAATCCGACACCAAATAAAACAGGACAAAATGCAAACAGATGTTAATCCGAGCGTAAAACCCAAATAAACCAAAAAGACTCGACCAAAAGAAGATGCCAGGGATGTGAAAAGCACGGCATGAGGGCACAGTCCGTCCAGTCAGCGGGGGCGTTCCTGCTCATAGGTCAAGTATGGACTGAAGGTCTGAGGCTGTTTGTGACACGAGGAAAGCGGCGGAAGTGGAACAGTTGGCTGTGTGGGGCTCCATAAAGTGGCACAACGCGTGCCAAAAGGTGCAAGAATACATCACAGCGGAAGTGGCTATGGCACTATCACTGGCCCTGGCACCAGCTGGTTTTCCTACCAGTTCCACGTATCGCAGCGTACTTTTGCCATTCACAATTATGCAATCAAAGTTTACTGAATGTAACCATAGTGTACAATAACCTCGTGCAGCATGGTCCCAGCATGATCTAATGCTGTGCAAATTTTTCGCAGCTTTCCTTTTTCCTCTGGCAGCCTCTGGCAGCCCTTTGTGCGCCTGGCCTGCTCGCTCTCACACTCCCATTCTCTCAGTGCGCTGCGCTCTGTGCTTCTCTCCATCTCTGTCTGACGGTTACCGTTGTGCGCTGTCATCATTTCTCATCGCTGGCATCGCTCTCTGCCGTTGTTTCCTTGTAATTTGTCACCGCTGGGAGCCCATTTCTGCGGCGTAATTTGTTTGCAACTCATTTCGGGATTCATTTCCATGCCCTGTCTCTCCGCCGTTCGCGTGTTTGGTGCCTTTGTTATGGCCAATGGGTCTTGATGCATTTAATTAAAATTATTACGAGTATTGTATGTAGCTGGAGTGGGAGTGGTGGGCGTGGGCGTGGGGCTTGGGCAAAAGAGTTAGGCTTTGAACTTTGCTTTGGAGTTGGTGAGAGGTTTCCCAGCTGTATTGAATAAATTGTAACATTACTTGATAATGCGTTGAAATCCCATTTTTCAAGTTTCTGGTGTAATTTTCATAATTTCTCATTGAATTTTAGAACCAAATAGAAAGATACATACAGGGATAGATAAAACGAAGTATCTTGTACTTCACATCCTTTAGAGTCCCAACCAAGTAGTCTTCGATCTGGCTTTTATCAAGTAAATCGAATCCCATCCAAAATCATTCAACAGCCAGACAACATACAGTCCACATCAAACAAATTAAACTGAAAAACAGAAACACAACAAATTTCGTTTGCAAAAATGCTTAAGGAGGGTATTTGGAAGCGTTCGAATCCCATTGTCGCCAAGGATCACATCGGAGCCATTCTCCCAGCGACTGTTCGGCCGGATCCCATTGAGCAGCAGCGCGACGAGGAGCCGCCCTGCATGAGCTACATCCTCGGGTGGGAGTACGGCCGCAAGTGGCTGGAGCGACGGGACCACATCAAGCGCCGCCAGGCCGTGGTTAAGTCTATGGTTTTAATAGTGCCGGACTTCGCCTGGTGGGTGAACCAGCGGCGACCCCTCTACGTGCGCAAGCAGCGCTTCCGTGCCAAGCCCAAGCCAAAGTCTGGACAGAGGCATCCGATGACCGCCTTCGCAGAGGGCAAGCAGCGGCGTGAGGCACAGGAACGCCATATACAGGAGTACCGCAACAAGTCCACCATCTAAGGGATCCATTGCGGTTCCACACGAGCGACACACAGCGCACACTTAAACCAGAACACAGCATCGACCATCACCACACTAGTGACAAAAGCCAACCATAAATTTTCACATTTTACATTACGCCTATGTGGGCGTGGCTGAAGTCTATTCCAGAAACATATATTTTATGTCCCAATGGCTTTACACGAAAAACACGATTCTTCCAAGTACTGAGATGCTTAATGTTAAATAATAATAAACGATTAAACAACTTCAGGGACTATCAATAAATCGAGAACCGCATTAGAACCCAATGAACTGAAACTAATGGCAAACAAGCTCCCTCTCTCATCCGACTCAATTTTCAGCCATATTACCATTCTTTCATTGTTGGTTTGGCAGAACTCTCCATGGCAAAAGGTCGAGAAGGAGGAGGCCCGTTCTCAAAACAAACAAAAGCGCAGCATCGCATCCGAGAAAACCTTCGCCTCGGACCTCTGACGGCGTTTACGCATTTGTTTGTTTGATTGTTGATTCCCTCGTTGAAATGTCAGGCGTATGGAACAATGGATCCACAGCCAGGTCATACTATATAAGAACTACGATTATATGTACATATGTATATGCAATCACCATCATCATCATCATCAGCAGCAACGTTGACGGTTTTTTTTAATCGTACGCAGAGGCAGAGACCCGACCCGGTAAGTGAACAATTGGCATGGCCCCGACCCAAGGCCTGTGGTTGGATGTACGTTGTACATCGCATATAAATACATACAAGTTATTTCTCTCTTGTTGATTTGCATTTCCGCTTCATTAACTTGGGCACACATCAAACTGTATAGATCAACTGTAATACGTATTATATGGTTGGCTTTTTCACGATTCTATTATATTGTACTTTTGGCGCGTAAAACACGTATGTATGTACATACAGATGTATACAATATTTAAGGGGCGGTGTACATTTAAGCCCTCCTCGAAGTTCGTCTTTTTACATGCTTTTGTTTTTCAGTTTTGTTTTATTTTATTTTCGTTTTTAACATTTAGGGGTTTCTTTTTGTTTAGCTTAACAAACTTTTACCTTTTTTTCGGCCCGCTTGATTTTCTTTATTTTTCAATTAAACAAAAACTCATTAGTGTTGATTTGTTGCTCAGACCCTTTTTTCATGGATAATTTATGGCATTTAAAAAGTGTTTGGAAAGAGACTTTCATCCTTACCAGATCTTTCTTACTTTCCGTAGCTTTTTCGCTTAAATTTCTCGGTGTCCATATTTTATTTTTAAATTCCTTAATTTTGTGGTCCAGTAAATTATAGAAATGTCCCCTCCACCGTTTTATATATTCATGCAAAGTCTGAAAACCTCTTTCTAGGTTATTCCTAAAACTTTTACATCCAATCATGAGTAATTACTTTTTTCCTTTCAACTTTGATTACCTCCATTTCCAGGCCTCCATTTCTTGAATATAAGCTTTGGAGACTTTCTCCTCCAATTAACATGAATTGCCCAACCAATTATTACATTATTTATTGCTTTTCTCTTCAACTACCGAGCTATTATCATTAATAATCATATAGGTTTTTTCTTCACTGATTATAATCCATTAATTTTGCGCTCATTTCCCCTTCATTTTTTACCTCTCCCCTGACAGTCTCTATCTCTCTCTCTGGTTATTATCAACAACATTCTCGTTTCATAAATGCATACATATATATTTTTGCCTCACAATTTATGCCACGGAGAACATTTTCCAGCAACAACAAAAAGCAGTGGGGTGCAGTTTTCCGCGCATAAATTAATGGCAACGAACGACGATGATCATCATGGGGTCTGAACAAGGAAGGACGGTGCAAAGTGGAGTTCTGACGGAAAGAAAGGGCTGGGAAATGTATGATTAAACATTAAACAAGTGGCATAAAAATGTGAAAAAGCGCTGCGAAATTTCTGCAAGGTGCTCCAATGAAATGTGGGAGAAAATCAACGTAATCAGGTGGGGGGGTTGGGTTAGGTCAGAGGTGCAGACAGAAGTATGATTAAGGCGAGGTTGTGGCTCTGCAATGACAGCTTGATTGAAAAATGGCAGCGCATATATGAATTAAATTCAGATATTACTATTTTTTAAATCTAAAACAAGCGTTGGGCTAAGATATCTGTTAAAGTATTTTATTGATTAAATTTTTTATCTAAACTTTCTGTACATTAGCGATTTGGTAAATAATAAGAGAATAAGTTTATTTTAAATCACTTCTTTGTAATATCTCTGGAACTATGTATGGTATTAACGTTTTCCAAGGCAGTGCCACTGCAATATATATCTTAAATCCTCTTTTAAAATAATATCCAGATTATTTGCCATCAGGCAAAATCTATAGATGAAGGACCAATTTAGACATCTTTCGAGGATAGCCATGGCTAGCCCCTATTACCACAAAATTAATGACAATTTAGAAATCAGATATGTATGTACCGATGTCCTATACATTTCTCTACGTTCAATTCATGGAAAAATCAAACACAAATGTATTTGATTTTGCGGTTGAATGGCCAATGGGGGAACCGCAAAAACTAATTAATTCGCCAAAACAACCAAACAACAAGGCGGGAGAGACAAAAAACAAAATGGCCGCCAGCAGAAGCGGAAATGAGCTTTGTGTGTGCATGTCTATGTGTGTGTGTGTGTGTGTAGGTACAAGTGTGCGACCGACCACAGAACAGATGCTGATTATGAAGATAATTAATATGGCTAATTAAACTGGCGAATGCGATGCAGAAATTGCATTTGCGAGGCAGCACACAAAACCAGATGGGGGACAGGGAAAAGCTGAAAAACAAGCCAAATTTCAACGGCTCCTGCCACATAAAAGCCAATTAATTATTTTTATGGCTACTCCCAGAGCCCCCAGAGCCAAACTACAACTTCGAGTCCGCCAACGGAAGCCAAGAGTCCGCTCAGAACTCGGGGATAATAAAAAATTATGGCCAACGATTTGGCTCACTCGAAACGAAACGAAACCAAACAAAAACAAAACAAAAAACAAGCACTGTGAGCCACTGACCAGGCCAAGTTACCCCGGTGCCCTTCTCTTTGCCCTCTTTATATATATATTTATATACACTTTATCCTGCATACTAAATCCACGAAAATAAAAGTAAGAGCCAGAGCCAAGCAAGGGCCAAAAAGATGGCGCCTTGCTGTGTACAAAATTGATCAGTGGATTCCCTGCCGTTTGAACTATGACGCGATATGTCATCATATTTTCTCGTTGCAGTTGAAGGGACCTTCCATCCTTCTGGTGAGCACAAAAAAGAGGTAGGGTAGGGTAGGGTAGGGTAGGGTATGGTCTGGTGGAAGAACCATCTTCTGCTTGTGGTTTTAGCCATGCATATTTCTCACTTTGTCAAACCTTCTGTGCAGTGCGCGCAAGGCCGCAATGAGATTGGATTGCCCCCACAGCCCCACCGATTCCTGCTATAGCAGTACCCCGCTCCCTTTTAGTCATCTTGTATTTAGCATTTGGCTTGAAAAACATTTATTGCCTGGGCTACCGCAAAATCAATTTGGACTCTTTGTTTCCGATTTTCGTTGGGAGATGGGAGGCTTGGAGGCTCGGAGGCGCCCCAAAACTCGTCTTGCCTCTGGCCAATCCCCTCTGCTGTGTTTATGGCCATTTCTCCGCTCCGTTTTATTGGCCAAGGCAATGCGCCTGAGTAATGGCCGCCGCCTCTCTGGGGCTCGGCTCCCGTCACACTCGATGTCGCTTTTCGGCCACTTTGGTTGCTCTTCTGACTCGTTTTCAATGCAATTTCTGTTCGGTCCAACGTTTTGCTTTATTTCTTTAGGGGAATATATTTTCCAATGGGTTTTTTATGGGTTATTTCTAGAGTTTTGATAGAAAATATCAACTTGGAGGATGTACAAGCACACAAATTAAACATAAAATCCAAATATCACCTTTCAATTTCCACCATTACAACTGCCAGAAATTCCCATTGTCCGTCCATAAACCAGAGTTCATTAAAAACTCCATTACCCGGAGAGGAGGCTGCACATACAGCAAATCAATTTTGATTTACTTGGAGCAGCAACAGACTAACCGACAGACAGACAGACAGACAGTGAACATACATCAATATGGTTGCCCCCATAGCGGTCAGCCCTCGAAATGGGGCATGTTTTGTGGGGGGCTGATAGTGCTGCCAGAGCTGGCCATCGAAGCGTTCCATCATTCGGAGGAGTGTTGATGATGGAAAGTGTCCCACTGTGCGTGCACAAAAAGCAACAACCAAAATAGGAAAGCAAATAGAAAGAGAAGAGGAGCACCACAATGGACTGGATAGAATGCCACAGAAAATGGAGTGGAGTGGTTCGGTGTGCCATGGAGGATATTCGAAGACTGAGTGAGCCGCAACAACAATAAACGCTAATAATGCTTAATCAATGTTACACTTTACAACAATAAAAAAACAAGAAACACACACACAAGAAGAGGAGGAAACACGAAGGGCCCTACGAAAAACGAAAGAACCCCAGAGTTCAACTTCATTTGTGCCATGATTTATGGCTTTTTCATTACCGAAAAAAACAAAGAAACGCACCTCTTCACACCTGTGGAAAAAATGTTGAGGCCGCCAATGAAATGTAATTGAAAATCAACTAAATCGATTTTCAAAAGATAGAGAACAATTTGTTGAAAACAATGCGCGGAATTTGTTGCGTACAAATCTGTTATTGTATTTGTATGTATTTCATTTCGCTTCATTTGCGTTGCGCATTTCAATAATCATTTATATTGTGGCATCTCACGTTGATTATAAACACTGGCCCGCGCGTACAGTTCATAAATTTCCAAAATGAGCTTCATTACGCACAGAACAGATCTGGTTGTTGGGTTTGAAAATTTCCAATTTATTCGCAGAAGAAGACTTCTAGCGGCGTTTTGGGGGCGTCGCTGATCGTTAGTTTTAGGGCAGCTTTGCATTTCGAAGTGTTGAACAACTAGTGTTGCAAAGCAGTAACTAGTGTTGATCAGACATGTGTAGGCTTTAGAATTCATTAGAATACTATTTGGTGGCTGAGCAACTGCTTTGCGGGAGAGGAATACTCCAGAATATTTCTATGAATAATGGCTTTAAACTTTAGTCGATATTCCAAGAAATTGTAATCTTGGAATATAGGAAGAAAAACATAAGAGCTTTGAAGAATCCTTCACTCTCTCCCCAAAATTGTATAGAAATACCAAAGAGTGGAACCATTTCTAATGTGCAACGCGAGGACAAAGCCCCAGTCCGCTGTCACATCGATAAACTAACGAACGAGCAATTATTTTTGAAAGAAAATTTGGAGGGATTTCTTTGTTTGCAGATTCATTGTGTGACTCCACCCAGCGGCAGCTGTGCTGCGTGCCTCCCAAGAACCCAATCTGGCACATCTCAAAGCTTTTCATCGGCATGCCACATGTCAATCCACAATCCACTCCGCTCCCTCTCCCCACAAATCCTCAATCTGGACTTTTCGACACTCGGCACACACTTGGAGCGGAGTCAGCGAATCACTGAGGTTATGGGCGGATGTGGCCTGTGGACTGTGGCCTGTGGATGTGGTTGTACTCTTATGTACATACAATATGCGGTGTTTTTGAGAAGTGCGCCCAGCACGAGTTAAAATTTAATTTAGTGAAAATAATTTGCTTAGTCGTGCTGCAAAATTGCATAATTGTCAATGGTTTCGGCCACTCGGCAGAGTTCTCTCTCTCGCACTCCGCCCGTTCTCGTTTGCTGAACTCTTCTAATGAGGCGACCACAGCGCCATTTTGTGGCACAAACACATTTGCATATTGGAAAATTATAGCCCTCTGCTCAAAGGCTGACGCCTGCTGCCCCGGCGCTGGCTTCTGCTTCTGGCTTTTGTTAGCGGTGCGGTTGCGCAGAGGGCCAACGTCGATGCTGAAGCCAGAGCCAGAGCCGGAGCCAGAGCCAGAGCTTCAGAGCGCGTGGTGGCCTGGTGAGGCGCAATGGGGGGGCGGTCGCTGTCGACGACGAAGTGACCTCCAGCCGCGTCCCAGTGGCGAGGACTTGACTCTTAACTGGCAGGCAGGCAGGCAGGCAGTCAGGCAGGCAGTGAGAATCGAGTGCACGAAAATATGCAAGCAATGCAATGCTCCTACTCCTCTTTTGGGCCTCATGATGAGCTGTAAAACACGCGTTTTCATAATGTTATTAAACGGAGGAAGAGGTAGAGAGCACGGTGATGAGGGAGCGGCAGCGGCAGTGGCAGTGGCAGCGGCAACCAACGGCCATTTGACATGCCAAAAAACACTTCTGTCACAGCAGCAGGAGAAGCAGCAGCGGTCGCAGCAGTTGCTCAGTGGAGAGTAGTATCCAGTGTCCCTAGGGGGTGGCCAGACCACAAAAGCGTGCCATACCCGATCCCACCTCTTTCTCGTCGCGATCTTTGCCCGCCTCTTGGCAGCCATGGGACAGGAAACTGCGCAAGCGCCGCCAGACCGACCGGATTGGGTTCGTAAATTGAGCGCCGCATGCGTCTGGGCAATTATTTTGCCATAATAAACTTGATACGGAGCGATGCGATGCTCTTATCTATGCTTTCAGATTATCGCAGCAGAGGCCGAACAGTAGCTTTTAAGCTTATTTAATTTCAAATTTAAGTTTATTTTTATTACCAAACCGATGAAGCGGCAAGAGTCAAAGTGGCTGTAAAACTAGCAGGCAATGATTTGAAAAGTTTAGTACCTAATGAATATTTATATCTGATAGTTTTAAGCTGTGAATGTTACAGAAATTGCTCTCTCTTACATTACGGCCGAATAAAGAATATTTAATGGTTGAAGCAATTTTTTAATTATTTTAAATTCAAATTTGTCTCGCAGTGCTGCCAGACCAAGAAAAAATGCCAGTCTTTTGCCTTCAAAATCATCGCCTATATTCCTAAACGATATATCGCTGCTGCTGGTGGACAATTAAATTCAAATCAGAATTTTACTCAACGTATTAAACTGAACTTGAGATACGAGACCAAATAGGACGAATATCAGAATACTGGTGGAATTTTGAACTCGCTGTTATTTTTTTTAAACAAAACGCCGATTAGGCGTACTATTGCACAAAAATACCTATATTTTTGTACATCGATAAGTAGAGTCAAAAGTGTCGGGTTTGAACGTCTGTGGGTGATCAAACGACAAAAAACACCAGAAAAAGAGTGTTGATTGGCTCAGAACTCAGAAAATTGTTCGTTGATGATATATTCCACAAAACCAGTCCAAAAATCCTTCATATAGAAAAATATTATCAACAAAAAATGTATATCGATACATCGTTAGCCCACAGCTGCTGCTGATGAATGAACGAACGTGTGCGTAAAACATAGCAAAAAGCGGAATTCGCAAAGCCGTTTTCTTGTTGGCCCAGGCTAATATTATAAACAATTAAATGGCCTCCAATACAAGCGACTAAATCGTGTTGGTGATAGCTGCCTGTGAGACCATTAGAAGGGCTTCGTGGACCGGCGATACACAATGGAAATGGATGGGTAAAATAAAGGCAGCAAACGAGTAGTAGTAGCAGGAGACTGGTGTGTGTTCGTGTGCGTACGCGTGTGAGGTGTAGTGCGTGTAGTAGTACGAACGAGTGTGTGTGAGGTAAACGCAAAACGGTGAAGCGAACCAGGGGAGGCAGCAAACGCGCAAAAGAAGTCCCAAATTGTGAAAAAGAAAACAAAAAGAGAGCCTAATTTGTGTTGGGTTGGGAGAAAAAAGACAAATGTAAAGTGAAGATGGAAAATGTGTGGTAAATGAGATAAGCGATTGCAGCCCCACCGCTAGAGCCGGGCATGTTAGTGCTACTGGTCCGAGGAGCAGAGGCAGAGCAGCATCCACCCAGAGCCACAGTCCTCCTGCCCCTGACCCTGCCCCTGCCACAGTCCCAGCCCGAACAGCAGTAATGATGCTGGCTGCAGCCGGTCTGCCGGCCTACGATGCCGGCAAGCTCAACAGCAATCCGAGCAACGGGACGGGAGGTGGCAGTGTGGGCACTCCCTCGGCAGTGGGTGCCTCGCGTCCCAGTGCGGCCAGTGCACTGATGAAGACCCTGTCCGTACGCCTGCATCGCGGCACCGAATTTATCAAGGATACCGTGCAGAAGGCTCTCGTCATGTCAGCGCCAGCACCCGTGGCCGAGGCCCCGGCCCCAGCCGCAGCCCCACCTCCACCAGCAGTTGGATCCGCTGGGACGCCGTCGAAGCCCGTAACGCTGACCAGCCAGACACTAAAGCGGAAACTGGCCGGAGCGGGAGGGTTGATGGGCTGCGGCCCGAGTCGGATTACATCGATCACCGCCAGCTCGAGCAGTGGACGCTTCATTCTGGCCCATGCCAACAGGAAGCCCGCTAGCCAGGTGCCGACGGAGGCGTTCCTCAAGGTCTACACGGTGGCACCCACTGAACTGCATCGCTCGGCAGCGGCCCGCGTACGTAATCCCAGCACTGATAGCTTACTCATGGATCTGTGCCAGTTTAAGCCCATCCGGCCCATGCCCATAACGCCAATTAAAATGTAAGTCCTGTAGATCCAATCAATCTATTCCTAATCTCCATCGATCTTTGCTCTGGCAGTAACAAATTCCGCGGCTTTGAACTGAAACGACCCAAATTTGTGCCCGCCGTGAATGACAGCGAAGACGAGGACGACGATGAGGATGATCCAGAGTCAATCCAGAAACCAAAGCCTAGGTAAGTATTGAGCATAATCGTTAGGAGCATCGTCTAAAGTAAGCCTTGCGTTTGGTTCCTCAGCTCCGTGACATTGCTGCCGCATAAGGGTTCGGCGTTTGTGCCGATGCCCTATATAGAGAGCCCAAACACCACCGCCGCCGCCGCCATCACCGCAATCGCCACCAGGAGCAGATCTCGCTCACACAACACTCACACCTCAGCCACTGGCGCAGACGAGCCCAAGCCAAAGCGTCGTCGTCGCGCTCCGCTGCTCACAGCCAGGCGACGCCGCACAAGAACATCAGCAGCTACAGCTGCTGCTGCTTCTGGTGCGCCCTCACCAGTCAACAACCCATCAGCCTCACCAGAAGAAGAAGCACTCAAACCTGCAGCACCTGGCAAACGCAAGGCAGCCACAAAAAGTGGTCCTGCGAAACGCAGTCGGGCTGCAGCCGCCAATCCCACTCCGGTCGCTGCCCCATCAACCTCTCCGGAAGAGGCAGCCAAGGCGCCTGCCAAACGCAAATCGTCAACGAAAAGGGAACCAGCGAAACGCAGTCGTGCCGCGGCTTCTGCAGCTGCCAATCCCACACCAGTCACCGCATCCACCTCTCCGGGAAGGGCACCCCGTGCACCGGCCAAACGTAAATCGGCCCCAGCAAAGGGCCCAGCGAAACGCAGCTGTGGTGGCTCATCTTCAGCTCGTCCCTCGCCACCCATGACACGTCAACGGGCCCGTCAACAGATCTCCGCCAGCAGCTGCCACAGTGGCAGCACTTAAGTTTCATCTACAATCATCTCGGATGTTCGTTCAGTGGAACGTAATCCGATGCGGCAGCAGCAACAATGGGAAAGGGTCTAGGAAAACTCTCCAAGTTCCAAGTGTTTTGGTTCTAGCTACTGTTTATGTCTGAGTAGCGTTCGAAAGCGCCTATTCGTGTAGCATTGTTCTCGATAAGTGGGAGTGTAATGTAAACCCAGGGGCCTAGGGGCCCACAACCATTATGCAATGAATCGTTTTACCAAGAGAGAAGCCACTCGGGGACTGCCAAAGAACGACCATTGTTCTTTCTCTTTGTAAGAGAGACATCCAATGCTTTACTTTCCCCACATTCAAGAGAGAGATCCAGGCATTACTTGCCCCCATATTTTCACTTTCTCCGAGTAGATACAACACATATGTATGTTGCGGCATCAAAATCATTTTGACTTGGTCTTCAAGACTGATATAACAAAGAATCCACTAACGAATAACGAATATATGATATGATACTGATACTGATATGTATGCAAACAAAAACAAAACAAAAACAGAAGATTCAAGAATTTATGTTTAGCCACAGTCCTCAGCAAAACGAAGAACTTTAAGCAGAAAAAGTATTAAATGTATAAAGAAACAAAACCATGTAAAATGTAAGCCATTCCTGATATTCATATTTCAAAAAATGATCAAGTGTTTTATTTTTTTTTATTTTATTTCGTTTTAATCATTATTATGATTATTTGTATTTGTTCGATGTACAAACAGAAAAATTGCAATGCTTTCGATTCGATTATGTTCTATATATGTTGGCCTTTGAGGCAAAAAGATATCGAGATATGAGAGAGAGAGAGAGAGAGTTAGGAGAAAATTAAAAGCAGGTAGGAAGATGAAGATCATGTAAACGCCACAACTATAATTAATTTTCCTACTTTGATTAAGTTTGTTAGAATTTATAGCTTAGAAACAAAACAAACTAATTCATTCATAAATCTATACATATATAATAATAATATAATACTACCTAAATCTATCTGTAAGAGCAGCATATACATATATTTAGAGGTCAAATCAACTGTGTGTTGTGATATGAACTAATTTATAATACCAAGCAAAAGACAACCAACTCAACCCAACCCGAACCCCCAATGATAGTTCAATCAATTGCTTGATCCCAGACAACCCACATCCCCCACTCTCAGCCTCGTCGAAAAAAAAAACACCCCATTCAAAACAGATACAGAACACTTTGATATCATTAAGAAGTAGTGCAGACAAAAAATTCCATAATTAAAATTAAAAAAAAAAATCAACACAACTTATCGAGAATTAGCCCTAAGCTAAGAACAATTTCAAGAGATTCCAAACAAATGCAAAATTACTTAAACACACAGCGAGTTGTATGCGATGCGTCAATAAAAATCCCTAAAAAATAACTACAAGACTATCCATTCATTGATGTCCCGATTTAAGTGGGGTTTCCGCATCTTAAATTCATTTTTTCCCATACTTTTCTTGACGGTTATTAATCGTTTTTTGTTCATCAATTTAACTTTAATTTTGTTCTAGAAGCAGACATTTTCCTTTTCCCTTTTATCTGTATTAACATTGTCTTCGGTTGCGACTGAACTTTGTGGGATTTCGTGCTGAGTCTCGCTATACTCAAATGTATCTTCATGTAATATCCTTTCCTAAGCATCCAAATTTACTCTCTTACCAAGTGAATGTTTAGTTTAATATTTGCTTTCCATTGTACATGTATTTCGATCTAAATCTTGTTTGTTTTCAATAATATAAATCTATTTATGTAAATATTATGTGCCATTCCTTCAGTTATCTTTCCTGTATATGTTTTCCTTTTGATCTTTCTTCCAGATCATTCCTCGAATATCTCCATTTTGGTGGGCATGACATTCCACAAATCCTGCAGCTTGTAACCATCCCGTATGCGTTCCATGGCAAAGCCAAGCTCCTTGCAATACACCGGCTCCCTGTCCGATTGATCCGTATTGCTGCTAGACACACAACCCTCGGCCAGATAGCTATTCAGTTTGGTATTGATCTCGCGCTCTTGCCGCTCGTCCAGCTCCTCGAAATTCTCGATCTTGAATTGCGTGGCCTGGGCCGCCTCCTCAGCGGCATCCGCCAGTCGCTGGCGCGCATCCTGGGCATCGTAGTGGATGCCAAAGTTCGGCTGCTCTATGTAGACGGTGTGCAGCGATGAGAGCTCCTTGAAGAGGTCGTTCAGCCGCTCGGCAGGATCGATGCGGAAGCCGAGTACATAGCCGCCTCCAGTCTCGGCTGTCTGGATGACCAATGCAGGGCCATACTTGGACTCTCGAACACGTAGCTAGAAAAAGAAATGCAGTGATATTTTATGGAGACTCTGGCCCAGAGGACGGTTACGCTCACGCTCTCAATCTGCAGATATGGCAGGCTGATGTTGAAGGTCTCATTGGCATCTGCGAACCACACAAGACGAATGTTGGAGACGACAAAGCTGCCAAGATTTCCCTGATCGCTGGATAGATTCCAGACGCCCTGTACCTGGCTGTAGACCTGCTCATCGGGCAGGATTATCAGTTGTCCAGAGAGCACGATGGCTCCGCGCAGCTTCAGGTCGCGATAAAGATACGTGCGTTGATATAATCTACAGGGAAGTGAGAAAAATCTGGCATGTAGTTTAGTACACAAGAGATTTTCCCATATTCCCCTCTTACTGATACACGTCAAAGACGCTGGCAAAGATGGGCTGATCACGGCGCGCCGTCTCCCCGGACACATCCGTGAAGAGGAACTCGAAACGCGTCTCATTGCTGATGGCCAGAATGTACAATGCCTGACTGGGCATCCTGCCCTTCGAGTGCATGTGCACGATTCGGGTACTGGTGTTTCCAAACCTCGCGAAGCCAATCGCTAAACAGAGGAAGGAAGCGCTCCTTTAGTGTGAATCTCCTGCACTGAATCCCCTGCATAGTTACCCACATAAATTGAACTTTTTGTGAACCAAGGAATGCCAAATCACTCGAAGATTGGTCACCATTAGGCGGCCCGTGTCCCCGGGATTACCCTTGCTGTCCTCGATGTGATAGATGTAGTCCAGCACCTTCTCTCCGGTGCGTAGACGAGTGTGCCTGGAATTGATACATCGACTGAATCTCTCTTCCCCATTTCCCTCTCTGGATAACTTACAGATGTGGCGTGTCAAACTTAACATCCTTGTCCTCCCAAAGGAGCTGCAGCTGTGGCTGCTGGCCATCGCTCTGCCCCAGAGATTTCAACATGTTAAGAATGAAATTTCCAACTTTTGTTGTGGCCAGACCCTTCCACCTCCTAGAAGACGTTGCTAGGCAACTTTTCATGCACTTTCAAAGGTACGGGTATTATGGGTTACTAAATACATGTATATATAGAGGCGGTATATATGCAAGTATCAAGACAAAAATCAATTTTAAGCAACTCTTCTTCACTTAACCTAGAGATGACGCCCTGTCTCCTTTTTAATTATATTTATTTGATTTATTAATTAGCCCATAGTATAAGTTGCTACCAATAGTAACAGCAAGCTATGTAATCGCTGTTATTTCATTTAAAAAAAAACTCGAGGCTCGAGTCGAATATCATGCACATGACATGTTATTGTTTTCTTCATTTTTGATCCTCTGTCGAATTTTTATTCCTTTCTTGCATCAAGAAATATACTCCATATTTTTGGTAGTTATTTTCATATATGTATGTATGCATTTATGTATATTTGACTAATTTGTAGAATTATAAGTACAAAACTTATGCTCTGCTTACTCGTATCAAAGTAGAAAAGGGTTCGGCTGATCATACACTTATACTCGGATGACTAAAAGTCAAGATTCCCTAAGAGGAAATGGCGCCTTAATTTATATAGAATAGCAAAGCTAAATATTGGAAATGTTTCTCATTGTTTTCGTTCTTTGTTTAGAATATTGCAAATCGTTTGACTTAAACATTACGACACTCATTGGGGGACAGACAGTGGCAATAGCAGGCCATTGGTGTGAACAAATGTTGAATACCGAAATGAACCTAAATCATATTTAGACTACAGCTAAGATCATCCGTTCCTTTCACATGATGATCTGCGGCTCGGGCACGCTGGCCGCAATGCTTTTGTGGGGCAGCACTTGACCTCCATTCACGTAGAGCTCATCCTTGACAATGACATCCTCGCCCAGCACTGTGATGCCCTCGATGCGCACCCAACGACCCACCGTCGAGCGCCAGCCAACAATGCAGGAGTCCAGCCAGGAGTGGGAGCGTACAATGGCGCCTTTTAGTATGGTGGCACGCTTGATGCATACCCCATCTTCGATGATTACATCTGGTCCGATGGTTACATTCGGCCCAATGCGGCAGCCTTCGCCTATCGTGGCTGTGGGATCCACCAGTACGTTGCCGACGACGCCTGGTCCGGTATACAGCTTCGTTGATTGCTTCTGCCGCAGCGAACTCAGGTAGAGGCACATGCCTAGAAGAGATATGCAGGAAGAGGCTGATCAATAAATGTCTTCTGGCAGGGGATTCTCCTATCTGGGACAGGGGTCTTCCCACTGGCGCTATCAGCCTAATGAGCCTCCACCACCGCGGCCTTAGCTCTTCCGAGAAACACACACGAAAAAGATAAAACAAATTCGAAAGAAACCAAAACATGATTCCAGAACGCACGACACTGCTGTGGGCGATAAGGGCTAATGAGGCAATCGAAGATAGGCGGCGAATGCTCTGCCGCAGTCGCAGTCCACCAGTGATTCAGCGAGTCTTCATACCTGTAAGAAAGTCTTTGGGCTGTCCAATGTCCATCCAGAAGCCGGTCAGATCCATGGCATACAGCTCTTTTTGCTCGGCCATGGCCGGAAATACTTCCTTCTCGATGGATGTGGGCCTGACCTCAATCCTCTCGAGCACCGATGGATTGAAGATGTAGATGCCGGCATTAATTTTGTTGCTGACAAACTCCTGCGGCTTCTCGATAAAGTTATTGATGCAGCCGTCCTCGTCGTACAGCACCACACCGTATTTGGAGGGCTCCTCCACCTTGGTCACGACAATGGTTCCCTCTTTGCCGTGATTTCGATGGAATTGCACCAGCTGCTTGAACGGGAAATCACAGATCACATCCGAGTTGAGTACAAAGAAGGGCTCCGGACTGGCAGTCAGTATCGATTTGGCCAGGGCCAGGGGTCCAGCTGTCCCCAGGGGTTCCGTTTCATGTGAGAATATCAGTTCCACGCCCAGTTTGTCTGCCTCCACCTTCAGCTCCTTCTCCATTTGCTCAGCCCTATAGCTTACGGCGAGTATGACCTGAATGAGGTACATATTGGCTTATATAAATATTACTCATAGTTGGTTAACGTAACCAACACTCACCTGACGGCAGCCGGCATCGACAAGTGCCTCCAGCTGGTGCAACAGAATCGGCTTATTGGCAAACTCGACCAGGGGCTTGGGTGTGCTCAGGGTGAGCGGTCGGAGGCGGGTGCCATAACCACCGACCAAGATGAGGGCCCGGGTGCCATTGCCGACAGCTGTGTTGGGTGCGCCGCACATTTCCGTTCTGTTCTTCTGAGCACTTGTGACACGTCAGAGATTCCGCCAGCAATTGTTTTTCTCCGCTCTGCTCGGGGGGATGGATTGGGGCTGACGAGCAAATGAATGTGAGCTAGGCGAACGTATTTCTGTTTGACTTTAATTAATATCACTTACAGTCTTTTGTTGTTGTTTCTGCTGATAAGAAGCCGATTCCCTTTTTTTATGACCTATTGCATTTGTTGGCGCTTTCCTATTGGACCTGGTCGTAGTGGGTGTGTGTGGACCGCTAATCAGCTTGCCTTACGTTACGCTTAAAACTCTATCTAATGTAATGGCACTTTGATCAATTAACAATCAATTCCGTTGCTGAAATTTCGGTTAACTTCGGCCGAAAAACAACCGAATAAACAACAAAACAACCAACCAAAACAGTGTGCCCGCCCGCGGATTTATCGAAATACGCTCAAAAATATACCCAAATATACCTTCTCATTTTCATAATATACCATAAATATAAAGAGGAAAATCATATTACTCAATTTCGTCATTCGATTTGATATTACAAGATAGTTAGGACTCTCACCACTAAACATATAATTTTATACTATTGATAAATCAATTTTATACCAGATGGTCTATTAGTAAGGACTTCCTTTTTTTGGATTACTTATAAAATAAGACTTAAACAAAAAAAGTCAACAAAAATGTCCTTTATTATACTCTGTAACGATAACTACACATTTCTGGAGTATGGCACTTTTTATACCCTATTTCCTTTAAATTAATGTTTCAATTCTGTTGTACAAGATGCTTTGAAACATATGTAATAGTGACTTTTTAGATTGACATGTTGTTTACCTGTTCATGCAATTGATTAGATTACTCTTTATATGGATATCTCGATCCCGAATACAGAAACTAGTTAGTCTGTGTTTTAAATCTGTCTCAACGAAATTTTGCAACTTTCGAGTTCGAGATATGTATAAGCAGAAATAAAATGAATAGGTCCAAAAATTATGTCAATCTAAGAAAATGTCAATGTTAATGTTTATAGCAGTTTGGAAAACCAAATATTAACATTAATGAATGGAAATTACCCTATAAAGAAGCCCAAACTAAAGGCTGACAATCAACAAGTGGTCAAACTACGTAACATTCCTTCCCACTTGCGTTACATTTCATTCCCGCTTACGCTTTATGCTTTTACTTTTTGTTTACTGTTTTAGCTTTAACCCTATTTTCTGAGAAAAACCAATCAGAGGGAGTCTTTTAAATTAGCTTGTCCTGTAGAAAATTTATTGATCTATCGAATAAAATTATATTTTCAGGGCTGAGAGTCCTGACCAGCTGGTAATATCAGAAGGAATAACAAAATCCGGGAATAGGATTTTCGATCATAGACGACCAGTTGGTATGTCAGGTGAAAGATATTAATATTTTTTGTAACTAAAGAGGAAATAATCCCTCAACAAGGAGCATTCAAAAACATTATTATTTTCTGCGCTTTAACGTTGTTTAACGCTGTTTAGTTAGAGCTGGGTTAACTGGGTTTTTCTCTCGGTATATTTATGAAATATTTTGAAACAGGGGTATTTCGGTATATTTCTGAGTGTATATTTTATCGATAAAAAGTACTTTTCAAAATGACCGCCAAACTCCATTTGGCGCAAAAAAAATACCGAAATTTGAGATAGTAAATTCCTCAAACTCAAGAGTTGGTAAATTTATCTCAATTAAGACCAACAAAACCAAAACAAAATGGAAACAAAGTGCTTTGGCCGTTTATGTTTGAACCTTGTTATGTTAAAAATCCAATAAAAAGGAGTTCTGAAAACTAGCCAATCTTGTACAAATTGCTGTGTTTACAAAATTTATTGATGCATTGGATAATATTATTTGTTTAGGGCTGAGAGGGCTAACTAGCTGGTAATATTAAACCGAACATCAAAATCGAGGAATATTCTTGTCCGTCAGTATATTTACGGTATATTATGAAAAAGAAATGCTATATTGGGTATATATTTGAGGGTCAGACGGTTCATATTGACGATAAATCCGCGGTCACACTGGTGGTCGGTGGGGGATAAAAAATCTGTGAAAATTGTGCAAATAAAATAATAATTAAAAATTAGCTCAAAGGTAAGTCGAATGTCAGGGATACGTGAATAAACCGAATGTGTTATGTAAATTGTAGCATAATCAGATATTGTATGGGTGCTGCTGCTGATCTGATTGTGGGGGCTCCGCTGGGGCAGAGGCTCAGGAAACGAGATACACATACATTCACATACGGGCATACATATTTCGTCAAATAAGCAGCAGCAGCGAGACAGAAAACAAAATGTCGACCATTTGCATTTTTCTTGTATTACTTTTTCCAACCAATCTTTAAACAATTCGTGGGCATTTGTTGTTGCTAAAAGCCTGGCCCAAGAACTCCCTAATATATCTTCCGGACTTTGGTGAAGTCTGAACTGATGAAGTGCGATTTCAGTGTGGGTAATATTTTGATATTGATTTTTACAATGGCTGCCTCTTCGGACAGTCCCCTGTGGAAATGACCCAAGGAAAACCTATTGGTCATTGTGTACATTATGCATCGGGTAAAAAATATTTCGTCTGGAATAATGTGTTGACGCGTCGTCACATGGTCACTACGATATCTTTCCAATCCTGCCTGGCAACACTTCAGCAGCAGCAGCAGTGTGTAGGGTATCCAGGCATGTATGTGCTCGTTTTTTTTTTGTGTTCTATTTCGAATTGATATTTCCTCTTGTTGTGGGGCGGAGGTTGCGGTGCGGGAGGGACGGCCTATACGCATCTTGTTAAATTTTTACTTTCTCTTTTATTTATGCTGCAAACTTCATCAGAGCCGCGGGGCAGAGAGAAAGAGTGTACTGTCAAGTGTGTGTATGTGTGAGAGATAGTTCTTCCAAGCACAGCATTTATTTAATTCTTTGGCCTCTTGTCAGCATTTTGGCATTGTTCTCTTCTCTTTCTTTTGGCTATTTAATATATTCGAAATTGCATTGCGTTTCGTTTTTGGGGCCTGGCGAAGGTTTTGCTTCTTTTTTTTCTCAATTGGCAGCGCCGCGCCTCGTGCTCGGGCACAGTTTTTTGCAAGTAATGCAGCAACAAAAGGAAGTGAGTAGAACATCTCTCGCCCAATGAGCATTTCTAGGAATGTGTATGCTTTTGTTGCGTGCCTTGATGAAATAAGCTATGGACAGTGTGACGTCATGGCTGTGTATAACAGCTGTTCCGAGTGGACAGAACTGTCTGTAGAATAAGTGTTACCCCTCTTCAAGTACTATGTATGTATGTAGCGGTTTGCGCATGTAGAATCCCCCTTGTTACACTCATTTTTTCTAGAAAGGTCCGTGTGAGGTCATTGGATTTAGAAAATTCTACCTAACATCTTCCAAAATAATTACTACTTCTCATCATGCCTGTGCGCATCTACATATATGTATATACCGAGAATTATCAATTGCCAATGGCCGCCTGATAACGTCTCAAAGACCAAAGGCAACCTTGAAAGTTGATTGAACTGCGGAAAGGAAAATATTTTGACCCCCAAGCCGGAGTAGAGCCTCTCCTCTCTCTCTCTCTCTGCTCTTTCCCCCTCCCTATGCATGACTCGACGCCTACGGCCGAGCCACATAATTTGATTTGCCTTGCCATCCCGCTCTAGCATTGTGTGAGTGAGGGAGAGAGTTGTGCCTGGAGGCCTGCCTGCCCTGCCGCCTGTCTCGCCGCAGCCAGCCCCATTCCTTAAACCACACAATTCCTCTGCCAGCCGTCCTCCCTCTCTCCCCCTCTCCTTTAATTTGCCAGTTAGTGCGGCGAATAAAAAAATCCTGTTGTGTCTGTCTGCCCTGCCTGCTGCCTGCCGCTATGGATGATGACTTTGTATGCAAGGAGGAGAGAACCTGGAACTTTGCATCTGTATGTGTATGTGTATGTGAGTTTTATTTCGTTCGAGTTGCGTTTCGTTGGCTCTTTGCACCACACCGCTTTGCCTGCTGCCCCATCAAAAAAAAAAAAAAAGAAGAAGAAGAAGAAAAGAACAGAACAGAAACAACAAAAAGCCAAAACACAAGTCGGAACTTGCTCTGCGCTTTGTTTGCCCCCATCGACTGGTTGACTTGACTCTCTTTGAGTGATGCATGTTAGTGTGTGTGTGTGTACATTGAACTCCATGAATTTTGAGCCGTCGACGGAGCTGCTGCTGCCTCCACTCCACTCACTGCCCTTCTCTCATCTCACTCACTCATCAAAGGGTCTTGATTTTGTTGGCAATGCTCTAACTTTGTTTCGGGTATAACAGTTTATCTACTCCCTCTATTCTCTTGGAGCAGTTCTTTGTGAAGATGGGGCTCTTGTCTGAGAGCGGTCCACAGGGGTGAGATGACCCAAGTTGTCTTTTCAAAGAGTACATGTCCATATCACTCTTAAAATACATCTAACATTGAATATGCACAGTAGAGTATGCAAAACCCGCTCTCGAGCTTCCTTCTTGTCTCGTTTTGTGCAAAGGAAACGAGTGGAAAAGAGATCGGTGGATAGAGAGCGTAGCTGCAGTTGCGTTGTTGGCAGAGCCGTGTTTGACTCCTTTTTTTTTGTTTTGTTCTCTTTTTCCTTTTCCGTTTTCTTTGTGTTGCCTCCTGCTCCTGCTCCTGATACCGATAACCCGCTTCCCGCTGTGCAGATGAAGTTCCGCGCCCTGATGCAGGATCCGCTGTACATACGAGAATTCGAGAATATAGTCGCGACCCTGGCAAAATTGGCCAAGGACTGCATCATGATCTTGGGAGCACAGCAGATGCACTTCATTGTGAACGAGGACCAGAGCTCCACGTCGTCACCGCTAGTGTGGGTGAGCATTGCGGCCAGGGACTACTTTCCCGAGTACATGATGGAGGCCGCCCGCCCGGATCAGGATTATATTGTGCTGGCCATGTCGTCGGCGAATCTGGGCCGGGCTATGTTCGTCCTTCGTAGCGGAGGCGTCAACAGCTGCAAGCTGAAGCTGCAGAGGATTCAGTTTCCCTGCGTATCGGTGATTGCCACGCTGTCCTCCTCCTCGACAGAGGCGCGCGAAGTGATCCACGACGTGCCCGTCACCATAATCCCTGCCAGCGACTGGCCCACCTATGTGGTGCCCCGGGTGCCAGCCTCCCAGCTGGCCCTGGGCCTGCCCTCACTCCGCCTGCTGCGGACCCTGATCGACAAGCTAAAGAATGTGTCGCCCAGCCTAGAGTTCCAGGTCAGCTATGACGGGGAGCTGAATGTGGTGGCCACTTCCGAGATGTCAACGGTCACCAGTCGCTTCAAGCGCCTCCTACCACGCTACCTGTCAGCGGATAAGGAGCAGGAGGCATCCTGCTCGGTGGATTCGCGCAAGGCGTCGGCCTTCT